GATCTTCTACAAGCAGTAGTAGACACTTGACACCAGCAAGTACACAAAGGTTGGCTAAATGTCATATGCAACCCAAGTCAAAAACATCTGATCCTACTAATTACAGAATTATGCCTACTAGTCATCACACTACTACCTTGAAATGAGTTAGTACAAGCCACATAACACTTGAGGGTCCAAACAGGACTTAACAAACCATCAGGATCAGAGTGGTTGATAAATGGCAGTGGTTGGCCTATGGAGAGTTTTAGTTAAATACAGAAAAACCTTAGAAGTTAAACCCTTATGTCGGACAAAGGACCGTATAACTTCCAAGCATGAAGATTGAGTTTCCAAACATCTGTGTGGAGAATGCCTGATTGAGGTTGTCTCAACATAGACTGCCAGTGTGGAACAGGTAGAGGTGGACATTCCTGCAGTTATCAAAGAAGCGAAAACCACATTTGAGCTGGCCAATATGGTGCAACTAAAAGAACTCAACAGGGAATGGAACGAATCATACTCAGAACCCGGGACAAAGCCAAATTGGGGGAAAGGCATACACATGCAAACCTGTCCAGTCTTGATTGAATACATGTATTGCCAATGACTGAGGTTGAGGTATCAGAGACCAAAACAACTGCAGTTGAGAATTCCAATGAGTTGCAAAGGCATCGATCAGTGGAGAGCCAAACTGATAGAAAATCCACTGAAAAACCTCATGATGTAGCATCCATTCTATCAGAAGAATCCGGTTGGGTTGAGACAAGTGATCTGCAATTAAATTCATCACTCCTGGAACATCACATGCTAAAAGACTGATATGATGAGCATGAACCTAGTAGAGAAGATCCAAGGTATGAAAACAAATGTCTTGAGAATGTGTGCCTCCTTGATAAGAAATTTAAGAAACCATTGTGAAAATATTATGATAACTTTTCCCCTCAAGAGAGACAGACCTTGAACCATAGCCCAATGTATTGCAAGGAGTTTGAGAATGTTGTTATGAAGGGTAGACTCATCTTCTGTCTAAATACCCTGGAACTCCTGACCTTGAAGATAACCTCCCCATCCCTGAAGAGATGCATCTGTGAACAGATGGATCTCTGGATGAGGTGGTGGAATAGGTACTCAAATAGTAGTGTCGTTCTGATCCAACCACCATTTGTAATCGACAATGTTGCTCCTGAGTAATGACACAGGATGATCCAAATGGTCGGAATGCATGAACCATTGGTCACACAGTGACCACTGAAGAGACCTCATATGTGGTCATCCCAAAGGAATGAGAGGTTCGGGAGATGCCTATATCCCCATAAGAAAGAGAACCATCAACACAGTAGGAGGGGCAGAAGTAAAAACCTGATGGCTCTTTACATGGCTTGTAACCTGATAGGGGTTGGTTGAGCTCGACTTAAATGAGTATTGAAAAACACATCCAGATGGATGAGATATTGCATTAGTGACAGAATAAATTTCTCTAGTCTGATAAGAAAGCCCAATTTTGTGGCTTCTGAAAGGTGAATCTGAGAGTGTTGTTCTGCTAATTGATGGGATGGTGTCAGAAGGAGCTAGTTGTCCATATTATGATGTGTGCACAGACTCAAAGAATGCAGATGATGAGAAAAAGCTCATACAACTCTGCAGAAGACATAAGGTACTGATGTAAGACCAAAAAGTAGAGCCCTGAATTGCAGGACCCGATTCTTGTGCACAAATCTGAAAAACCTCCAGGAAGATTCCGCTATGGGAATATGTAGACAAGCGTCGTTAACATCAGACTTGATCATCCAGAACCCTGAAACAAAGTGCCATCATAGGTTGAGAAAAGATTCCATAGTAAAGTGAGGAGGATCTAAAAACTGGTTGAGTCGAGACAGATCGATGATTGGACGCCAATATCCTGTCTTCTTGGGTACAACAAATAAATGGGAATAAAATCCTGTAAGAACAAGATAGACCATCTCTGCTGCCTTTTTGATTAACAATTCTCTTATGGCCTGGGAACGAAGCTCCACTTGTCGTGGATCTGTTGGAGGAGAAAAGGTAACAGATTGAGCAATTAATGGTGGAAGTGATGTAAATTGAATGACCAACCCTGAATCCAGAACATGAAGTACCCATGGATCCCTGGTTAATAAGTTCCAGATGTCCAGAAAGTGATGTAATCGTGCTCCCACTGCTTCCCTGCCAATGGGATAGTCACAGATGCCGTTATCGATGGTACGTCTGAGTCGAAGATCCTCAAGAATACAGGTAGACTCGATTATGGGAACCACTAGACTGGGAACCGAAGGAGGAGGTCAGGAAACACTGTGAGCCAACTCTCCTAAATTGTCATCAGAAAGGATAGAAGCTAACAATGATAAAGAAGAATGTAAATAAGCTGAATCAATTCATGATTCCAACATCTCTGGAACTCCGGCAAACCATATGAGATGGAGAAAAGGAGCTTCCCATAATTCCCTGAGGACAGAAAACGGTAAACGAACATTTTCTAACAAGGCACCTCTATCCAGTAAATCCCAACAAGAAACCACAGAAAGAAATGGAGAAGACAATCTCACTGAAGTAGATGTCAGCAAGGTCCTCAACTCATCCTCAAATTGCTGAGGGAGACGTTGATAGATTTCCAACAAAAGTTGGATGGAAGATAAATACCTCAGGACAGTAATGAGAGTAAGACTAATCCGAGAAAACTGTGATCTATTTAAAATGATCACAGGTTCCAATCTAGAACCCCGCAGGTCCAAAAGGGTTCCATCCATTGAGAATCTAAATATA